GTGGCACCGTCTCTGAGTCTCACTCTGAACCGCCGTGACTCGAACGATCGGAACAGCTTCTCCGCAGCCGCGCTGTCAGGGACACCAGACGACACGCCGTCGCTTGACATCAACCTGGAAGCTCTGGAGACGCCATCGGACAGCGAGACGGGAACACTGCCGGACAGCATGCACGACCTGGAGTGGGACGGTGAGATGTGCACACAGATGGGAAGTAACGTAACCGAGAGAAAAGCAGCTGACCTCTGACCTCTGTCTCACAGACGACCTTCCTCGGATGGGCAGAGGCGGAGCTGTGGGTGTGGCCAGAAATCCGATGGAGCAGTCCGAAGGTCTGATGGAGCTGGATCAGGTGGACAGCAGAGGGCGGCGCTGGAGGCGGTTCTGCATCTCAGGACACGAATACCATGTCAACATGAGCGTCCTGGAGCCGTACCTGCAGGTCCTGTCGCATGGAGGTCAGAGGTCACACACCCACCAAACTACCTGTAATACACCTGCAGGAGCTTCTCACACACACCTGAAAAACACCTGTAACACAAATAAGATGCTACACTGATATTACACCTGCAGGACGTCAAGCGCCACACACACTCACCTGTAACGCACCTGCAGGTGCCACGGAGCTAACACTGTTGTATTTGAAGTTGCACCGTCACAGCTCTGCCTGTGGTTGGTTGACAGGCTACTTTGGAGACGGGATGAACGCCATCATCCTCTTCACTTCCTGTTACCTGCCGGAGAACACAGTGGAAAACTACGAGTATGTCATGGAAAACCTGTTCAGGTGAGTTTGGGCCCAGAAATTGTGGTCAGATGCTAGCAGGTGTGAGCCACGCCTCCTTCATCACCTGTCTTCCCCTGCAGGTACATCGTGGGGACGCTGGACCTGATGGTCTCAGAGAATTACCTGCTAGTCTACCTGTGCGCCATGGCTCCCAGAAACAAGCTGCCCTCCATCAAATGGCTTCACCAGTGCTACACGTCCATCGACAGGAGGTACAGCATCCCCTCTCAGCACCGCCCTGAGGGGTGGAGCTTCTTTACTTCCTGTTCCTTCAGTAACTGTGACCCCGTAGACGAGTAGAGCTTCTCATAGCTGCTCGCTGTGTCCGACCTGTGGACCATGCGGCGAGATGATCTTTCAGTTCAACTACCTGCAAGTTTGCTTTATTTATGTAGCACGAACAGTCGCATCGGGCGCTTTATGCTGTACAAAGGAAGCCTACGATCATGTGACCCCCTATGAGAAGGCACTTTGGCGACAGGAAGTAACCTCCAGCAGAACCAGGCTCAGGGGTGGCCATCAGCCGCGACCGGTGTGGGTGAGAGGAGGGAGACGGGATATTCTGAATGTGAGACGAGCTAAGGTGAAAACAAGGCGCGTTACGCTAACCATAGTCAAGAGCGCCAACGGAGAGCTCCGCCCCCATCACAGCCACAACAACAATGACCCCTCTATTCATCCATTGGCAGTGTCAGGGTCACGACCTGATTTTCACACGCTGCGTGACGTGCAGCGCCGAGATCCTATTTGGAGCATGCACTCGAGTCAGACTTCCTGTTTGGAAACAACCAACCCACCAACTCCGCAATGCAAGATGGCAGCAGTGGGGGTTCAACACCCCCCGCCTCTCGCCATGTCACCTTCTGCTAATAAAGGCTAATAGCTGGCTGTGGCTCAACGGCAGCAGGTGATGGTGCTGACGTCGGGTCAGACTCCATCATGACGTCTTTAATCTGATTGGTCACGCTCGCTGTGTAAGAGACGCTCTGATTGGAGCGCTGCTCTGCGTGGTCATGACGTAATCATCCGTTGCCTTTGCTGTTGCGTTGTGACCAGTTTCGACGCGGGAGATGATGTCGGGGATTCAGCCATGTTTCCAGCTCTTTGGAG